TTAGGCTTTAAACACTAAAATGGTTCAATTAGAAAATGAGCTAAAAATAAATTTGGGGGCTAACTCAAAATTATTTTATATGCAAATATATTTTATTTATTTTATGTAATAGATTAATTTTAATGGTGACATACTTCAAACAATGATAATTGTTTTGTTAGGTCTAGACCAAGAAAAGTTGTTTTGGAGATAAGTTGATATTGGTAAATAGTTTAATTTATTCTTTTTAATATGAAGTTTTTTAATATATGTATATATAAAAATTTTAAAATCATGAAAACATTAGTCTTAATGGTGAAGTCAGACCAAAATAATGATTTTTGATTGGGTTAAATGTTAGACTGGCATACTCCAAGTTTGGACTTCAATTTTTATTTTCAATGATAAACTTTATTGTAATTAAATTATTTGACAGATGAACTTGTAACTATGCTTAATAAGGGGAAGATTAATTTGAGGAGTGACGGAGAAAGGGACTACTCCCTTTGTTCTCATTTCTATTTTATTAACCATTTTTATCGAGTTTCACATAAAAAATAAAAGTTAAAAATTAATCGACATATGTAATTTATTATATAATTGAATGAATTATAATTACAAAATTCTAATGGCATAATTTATTTATGTTTTACCGCAAGTACAATTTTTATAATTTATTTTATTTTTTATCTTTCTTTTTTACTAATTATATTATAGCACATTTTTATATTTAATACATGAAATGCACCATTGATGACAAAATCATAAAAAAAGATCTTAATTATAATTGTCATGAAAATAATTAAAATTTATTTGGTTCTAAATCTCTTTTCCTCTTCATTTTAAAATATTTTTAATTTTTATTTAATATTAATATTATTTTTAATTACTTGTGCGATACCGTGCATAGTATGGGTGTAATACTAGTAATTACATATATAAAAAAATAAATGAATGCTATATTTTATTCCACGTGTGATCCCAGAAAATGTAAAATAAATATAAATTTCATTTTTTGTGTATGTTTAAATTTTTTCTATAAATGTAACATCATTGGCATATAATAATATAATTAATATATTAATAAATTTGTTTAATAGTTCCACTTAGTTAGTGTTTAATTACACAATTCAACACTTACAAGTAAATGCTTACAAATTAAATTGTTTAATAACTATAATTCGTATCACCTAAAATTTTAAACCTCCCTTAAAAATTTAATATCATAAATTTCTTACTTAATTATAATGTTGGATTCTGATTTTTAACATCTTATAATCATATCATTGATAAAAAATACCATTATCCCTCCACCATTGTCACATCACCCCCAGCTAATATCACACGACTACCACCACCACCACCACCACAAACACCAACACAACCAGTACCACTTACACCAACAAATTCTAATTTTTTTTAGGATAAATCACAAATACATCCTCTAAGGTTTGATTAAAACTATCACTACCACCACCACCAACACCAACACAACCATTACCACTAACACCAACAAATTCTAATTTTTTTTTAGGATAAATCACAAATACATCCTCTAAAGTTTGATTGAAATACAAATCGCTCTCTGTAGTTTTGAAAATTATATTCTATCCCTTGCGATTTTTAATTCATGATAAATCACTCATTTTATTAATAATCATCAAGTCAAATAACAGTTTTTTTAATGATGTTAGAAATATGTTTCAATTAATAATTTAGGTAATTTTATTATTGCATAGGAGAGCAATTATGAATTTTATTTTTTTAGTTAATTCTGTTAAATAAAAAATACTAACAAGGAAGTATTTGTAATTTTTCAAACTATAAGGAACAATCTGTATTTTAAGCAAACTTCAGTGGTATATTTGTAATTTAGCCTTTTTTTTACATATCAAATAACTTGATTTAATTCAAAACTTAAAAATAAAAAATTAGTACTTAACTTTCTTACTTTAATTTTTGCAATTTTTTTTTAATTTCTAATTTTATAAAATAACACTTTCCCTAATGCATTGATATCACATTGTATTCGAAATCTTATTGAATTCAGTATCATTTAGTGTGTTTGGTTTTAATTTTTTGGATTTAATTTTTTAGAAATTGAATTTTTTAGTTTTCCTATTTTTTAGTTTTTAATGAATATTTTTAAGATTTTAAGTAATTTTTTTTTTACTTTTTTAAATACACCTTACTTAGATGTATTTAAAAAGTAAAATATTTATAAAAAAAATATTTTAAAAAATTAATAAATACATAAAAATATGAAAAATGTACGAAATTCTAGTATTTTTTTTATATGTTTAGTATTTAACTCACCAGATTTGTGTCCTCCATTCACCAGAATTCTGCGGCTGCTAGACAGAGAAAGTGAGATTTTAGGCCAAAACCAGTGACACCCAAAAGAGAGAGAGAGAGAGAGAGAGAGAGAGAGAGAAGACGAAGAAATAGATATAGATCTGTGGAGAGGAGACTGAATAGAACTAGTCGCTTTATTTTGAAGCTGCGGTTTCATTAATCAATGCCCTAATTGAATTAGGACCGTTGATTTAGTGGGTCTACTAAAACAATATGCCATGAGGAGAGTAATAGGTAATCAGAACTGTCCATCGTGGTTAAACTTCAAATTTTTAAGTTTGTTTAGAATACGGATTATTTTTTGTGATTTAAAAATAATAAATATTTTTTTGTTTAATAGAATTAATTATAAAAAGTAAAATTTTTAATTATTTATTTATATAATAATAAAATTATTTAAATTATTAATTAAAATATAATTAATATTATTAAAAATTAATAATTAATTTGATAATTTATTAATAAAATGACTTATTTATTATGAAATTAAAAATCTTGTGAGACATAATATAATTTTTAAAATTACAAGAAATAATTTGTAATTTAAGTAAACATGAAGGATGTGTTTGTAATTTAACCCAAAAAAAAAAAAAAACAATCACGATCCTGCTACAACAGAATTAACACCACGTGTCAACATCAAGCGGCAACAAAAAAGGCCTAGAAGGATTATCCGTACGCAAGCCACTCCAATTGAGGTTAAATACAGACCCGAACTCCACTCTTCCCTCCACACTCTCATTAACTTCTCTCTCTCCCCCTTAAGCGCTCTCTCTCTCTCTAAATCTCTCTCTCTCTCTCTCTCTCTCTCTCTCTCTCTCACATCTCTTGTCCGTAACGTTTCTGCTTACAAGAAGACTCGTGGCTGTCTTTTGATGGTTTTTCTGAATCACCGCTTCTGAGGTAAAGAAACCCGTTTAGAATTTTCAGTCTTTTCGAATTTTTTCTTACTTGTTTTTATTTTATTTTTTTCTCTCTGTTTTCGTACTTTAGTGAATCACCGCTTCTGAATCACCCCTTAAGCGCTCTCTCTCTCTGTTTTCTGAATCACCGCTTCTGAATCACCGCCTGAACCGTTTTTGGTGTGACGCCACCAGTTTTTGCGGTGGTTGCAATAAATACTCTGTTTTACAACTTTAAACGCATTGTATATACCCGTATAGATACATGTATGTATAGTATAGTAGATCAAATGGAAGATGGTCAATAGGGTAGAACTACCATTGCTTTAAAATTGGGATTTCTGAAATGAGAAACTTTAATATGTGTTTGGTTGGGAATTTGAGGAGTGATTTAAAAAGAAAAATAGAAAAAGATAAGTGAAATGTGAATAAAACGTATTTATATTTTTTACACATTTTTTTTTTTAAATTTCTTTCCAAATCTCCCAAGTTGCGTCAAATTTGACGATACAACCAGTTTGTATAAAGTCTAGTCTTGTGATTTTAAATCTTGTCTTTTGAGGATTGTTTAGATGGGTTTTGACTTGGAGCTTCTCTTGTTAAAAGAGTTCAGTGGAAAAATAAATAAATAAATAAATTGTTTTGGTCTTATTTCATTTGAGTTTTGAGAATTGTTCTCCGTTATGTAAAATTTTCTTTTCTCATTCTTTTCTGGTTTTTTGAACTAGACATTTTTATGGTCTCTTTCAACTTTCCTAGGTCCTACTTTTGTCTTAGCTTATTCATAATATTTTTTAAAAATTTTATGTAGGTCCCCATGCTCTTGTTCATTTGGTAAGAAAACTATTCCTTTCTTGTCCTTTGTTGTATTTTCTTGCTCTCATGAATCATTACTGTATCTGCTGGATTCTCACCAAAATGTCCTGGTGTGTCACATGGGATTCAAACTGAGACCGGAGTTTTAACGTGGCTGAACACTCACCACCGCAGGCCGACCACAAATTGATTTCTCAAGCTTCAATTTTACACATGAAAATTAATAAATAGAATAGTGCACATCAGTTCAACCTGATGGCATACCATAACTTCAATTACTTTCTCGTTGATACTCATACCCAAATTTTGACTGTACACATCTGGTAAACAATATAACAAAGGAAAATCTTTATGAATCTTTCCATAATTTCAGCCAACAGTTGTTAATATGTTAGAATAGGCTCCCCTCTATACCTCATCTCGCCATAATTCTTCGTATTCCTCTTGTAGGGCTCAATTCCAAACTCACACCGATGATTTGAATCGTCTCCTTTGTAGACATCGCAATAAAAATTAATTTCATCAAACAACTATACACATATGAATAAATAGTATTTTATTTTAACAAATGGATGGTTTATATATTATATACCTCGATTATATTATATCTGTATATAATTTTCATTTTGTTGACCTTGAAATGCTATTCCCTTAATTGCTTGCCTCCATTTCACATGAATCATTACTTTGTATGCTAGATTTCACCAAAATGTTTCAGAGGGGGGTTAGAAAAACAGAAAAGGTAGATCCAAAACATGCTTAGACAATCTTGGCAGTTTGGTTAAAAGGTCCCCAATTTCAAGAAAATAGGTCTTTCCTTTTCATACTCCTACCCAATTTTTAACTACCCACATCTTTTAAACAGTAAAATGAAGGGGGAATCTCTATGAATCTCTCCATAATCTCAGCTAACAGCTGTTAATATTGTAATATTATATAAATCTTGATTGGATTATATCTATATATAGTATTCATTTTGTTGACCTTGAAATGCTATTTTTCTTAATTGCTTTCACATGCTTCCCTAAGCTGTCATATTCAATACGTCATATTCTCACCTAGCTTTTGAAAAACCATTTGTAAGCATGAGACGTTTCAAAACTGTAGAAAAAATTGGCCTCCTTTGTCTTCTTTTTGAAATATCCAATCTATCATGTTTCTTGCATGACCTTTCAGTTGTCTAAACTAGGATGAGCTAACTCACCTTCTGGACTCTTCCAAGTCTAACGGCATTATTATGTACTAAACAGCTAATGTGTTTCTTTTTTTGTGGGCTGTATTGGGGGGAGGGGCGAGTCGAACTTGAGTTGAACCCGTGACTTCCTAGTCAGGTACTCAAGTTCTAGCCATTAGGATAATGTTAGAGATTAAGAAATATAGACACAGATACGGATATATATTTTACATCTCTTTGCCCTAAATTTATGTTCATATAAATAACAAATATATATTTTACTTGAACCCTAACTCAACTTTCACAAAGGTTGTGTATCTAAACACATGGCACGCATGTCTGTGCAATGTCCCCAACATATTCGTGGCGTGACCGACAACTGGACACGCAGCATATCGGACATGCCATCAAACACCTATACGGACACGTGATCGAACACTAATACAGACACGACACTCATTTTGAAGAATTTGTGCTTTACAAATATCTTTCCTTGGTTTAGTAAAGTAACATTCATACTAATCCTTAGCTTCTCTGTTCTATGTTTTCAGGATATAGAAGTTGCAAGGAAAATTAGACCTGTGAAAGAGATTCTGAATTAAGTCAGACATGGCCAAAGAACAGTTGCAAGTGCTCAATGCACTTGATGTGGCCAAAACACAATGGTATCACTTCACTGCAATCGTAATTGCCGGCATGGGTTTCTTCACCGACGCATATGATCTGTTTTGCATCTCTTTAGTCACGAAGTTACTCGGCCGCATATACTACCATAACGATGGCGATGCTAAACCGGGGTCTTTGCCTCCTAATGTCTCAGCTGCAGTGAATGGTGTTGCTTTTTGTGGTACCCTTGCTGGCCAACTCTTCTTCGGGTGGCTCGGTGACAAGATGGGTCGAAAAAGAGTCTATGGCATGACCCTTATGGTCATGGTTATCGCTGCAATTGCCTCTGGCCTTTCCTTTGGCAAAAGTGCAAAAGGCGTGATGACCACACTCTGTTTCTTTCGCTTCTGGCTAGGATTTGGCATCGGTGGCGACTACCCTCTTTCTGCTACCATTATGTCCGAGTACGCCAACAAAAGAACTCGCGGTGCCTTCATTGCTGCGGTGTTTGCCATGCAAGGTTTTGGGATTTTAACCGGTGGAATGGTTGCATGTATTATTTCTGCATCATTTAAGGCCAAATTTCCTGCCCCAGCATATCAAGACAATCCTCTTGGCTCCACAGTTCCTGAAGCTGATTATGTTTGGCGCATAATTCTGATGTTTGGTGCGATCCCTGCTGCACTTACTTATTACTGGCGAATGAAAATGCCTGAAACTGCCCGTTACACGGCCTTAATTGCCAAGAATGCCAAACAGGCCGCTGCTGACATGTCCAAAGTGTTGCAAGTTGAGCTAGAAGCGGAACAAGAAAAAGTTGAAAAGCTTTCTGGAGATAAAGGCAATGATTTTGGTTTGTTTTCAAAACAGTTTCTTCGTCGCCATGGCCTTCACTTGCTTGGAACCACCACTACATGGTTCTTGCTCGACATTGCCTTTTACAGTCAAAACCTTTTCCAAAAGGACATTTTCAGTGCAATCGGGTGGATTCCCGATGCCAAGACAATGAATGCCATTGAAGAGGTTTTCAGAATATCAAGAGCTCAGACTCTCATTGCTCTCTGCAGTACTGTCCCCGGGTATTGGTTCACCGTGGCATTAATCGACAAAATAGGGCGCTTCACCATTCAGTTAATGGGATTTTTCTTCATGACAGTGTTCATGTACGCCTTAGCTATTCCTTACAATCACTGGACTCATAAGGAGAACCGAATTGGGTTCGTTGTCATGTACTCGCTAACCTTCTTTTTCGCCAATTTTGGTCCAAATGCAACGACTTTTGTTGTCCCCGCTGAGATTTTCCCTGCAAGGCTACGATCTACGTGTCATGGCATATCAGCAGCATCTGGGAAAGCTGGGGCAATTGTTGGGGCATTTGGGTTCTTATATGCAGCTCAGAATCAGGACCCGACTAAGACAGATAAAGGGTATCCACCGGGTATTGGTGTTAGGAATGCGCTCATGGTTCTTGGGGGAGTCAATTTCTTGGGTATGGTGTTTACATTCTTGGTGCCTGAGTCAAAAGGAAAATCATTGGAGGAAATGTCTCAAGAGAACGAGGAAGATGAGGATGGATCGACGGAGATGAGACAGCAGACCAGTCATGACATTAGGACAGTTCCGGTTTAATAAGAATTTCTCATATAATGCTGCTCTCTTTAGTATAGTTATCAGTCCACCTAGTAGTTTAATGTCTTTGAGCACACATCTTAGGATGAAAAAAAGCTTGTAGTGCTTCACCTTCATGTTCATCTTGAGATATGTAATAAGCTTGCTGCTTTCTTCTGTTTAACTAGTGGTGATACTCTTAAGTTCTGTCTGGCTTTAATCTTGTTTGTTAATGGAGAAAATGTGTAGTCCTCTCTCTCTCTGCGACCAAACAGTAGACATCTGGTTTTTCTTGTCCCATGGTTCTACATGCTTGTTTAGTACAGCTTTTTGCTTACACTTGACACCAAACACTATTGACACATATACATGTTCCCAATTTTTTTTTTATTGAAAATAGTCTTTTATATGGACAATTCGAAAGAGTTGTTTGGGATAAACTATATGAGTGTGTTTTTTGAATTTTTAAATAAAAATTAGAGAAAAAAAAAGATGATTATTTTGGGTAATTTTTTGACTTTTTACGAAAAAATATATATTAAAATATTATATAAAATAGTAAAATTACCGTATTATCCCTATGTCTTATGCTACTGACAGTGATGGCTAAATAGTGCAGTACAGATGCTTTGAAATGAGATGGTGCTTTTAGAAGATATATATATAGGATAAGGCTTCCCTCCGGCCCTTCATTGGACTGGAGGGTATTGTTGGGTTCGTAAGGATCCATCACAGGTCCCTTTTTGATAAGTCAAACCGTTAATGTGTAGAACTCGTTAAGCACTATATGTCTGTAAAAAATCAAATTGATCGGATGTCGATAGTTACGTGATCAAATCAGTTTTGTATGGAAAAAAAAATGGACAGTGAAAAATAAACGGCTGATAAAAATCTGATTTGATCACATAACTATCGATATCCGATCAACGTGATTTTTTACAGACATATAGTACTCGACGAGTTCTACACACTGAATATATATGTCTAATTTTTTCATAAGATATATGAAAAGTATCCCATGGGCCCACACATGAGCTTGTATTGGGGTACAATTTTGTCTTGTACTCTTTTTTTCTTTTTCTTTTTATAACTTTTTTTGATGAATAGTGATAATTTTTTTTTGACATTTTTTGATTTCAGCAGTGATTTAGACCCCCTTAAACTTCAACCCCCACCACCCCACACATACGTGGCGGGTGGTGATTGGAGGGAGAGAAAAAAAAGAAAAAGTGACCAATCAAAAAAGAAAGGGGGTCAAAGGGGGTGAGGGAAAAGGGGTTTCAATCTTTATTCTTTTGATTTTTTGTCTTTTATAGAGTAGGCCAAACAAGCACTTAGTAATAAGGTAAGATGAATTTATCTTATGAATTGAACACTTCAACAAAAGTAAAGTAACAAAGATTTACATGTCCTATTATCAATTTCCAATTTCAATTTCTTTATTCTCTCGTCACCTTTCCAATTTCATTTTCTTTCCCCTGTTGTGGGAGGTGTGCTGTGGTCACAGCAACGCAAAAACATTCAAGAATTTTTCACTTTTCCATGATCGCATTCTTACTTTTTTCATTTTTGTCCATTTGCTTTTTCTGAACACTATCAAGATTCCTTTTGATTTGGAGAAACTAACAAGGCTTCCTTTATATCTGCATTTTTATGTCATTTTCAGAGAAAATTTTGTTTGTGTCGGGTGGAAATTTCTCTCAGTCAGACAAAATTTGTCTGAGTCAAATTTTCTCTGTAAAAACATTGAGAAACCTTAATTATTATGAAAATATTATATGTCATTTATTTAATAAAATCTTAATATCAGGAATTTTAAAAAAAATTCCCTTGTTTTTTCCCTGTATTTTTTTTTCAGCATAAATGTTAAATGATAATTTTGATTGGTTAAAATTAAATTGATGGGACCATTGATTGGACATAGTACCAACATGAATGCAAAAGACTTCCACATTGAGGATATTTAAGGAAAATGTTTGGTAGCTCAAATTTTTGTGGCTCAAATGGCTCAAATCTGTCAAAACGACGTCGTTTTACACTCAAAATCTGTCAAAACGACGTCGTTTTGACAGATTTGAGCCATTTGAGCCACAAAATTTTGAGCTACCTAGCATTGTCGGTTTGTTAAACGGTATCCTTACAGTGTTTTGTTATAAATTGTATTAGAAGATAATGAGTTCCCTATTCAACATGGCCTAGCATACCAAATGGTTGAGAAAGGATTAGAAGGAAGCTAAAAATGAATCAATCACCAGCTTCCCTCCTGTCCACGCCTGGATTGAACGGTGTAGTTTGGATTTGTGTTTGTGAGAGACTTACCGCATATTTTATTTCGCTAATTTGAATCATTTATTTTGTAAAATAATTTTTTTCCACCAATTTTTTTTAAAAAAAAATGTTTTTATGGGCCACTGAACAAAAAGATTTACTATGGGCCTATGGATAAAACACGTGTTTTTCATATTTATGAATGGGGACTTTTGACAATGATTTTTTTCCCCCCTGATCTTTTTCCTTGTTTTTTAAATTAAAATTTTAAATATGGTATATTTTTTTAGACATTAAACAAAGATAATTGAAACATGAGACTTTCTAAAGTAGGAACAGGTCATAAGGCTTTTTATGCTTCACCTTCATGCTAATCTTGAGATATAGTAACTTCTATGCTACTTTCTTCTGTTAACTATAGTAGTGATATTATTAAAGTTTTATGTTTGCTTTTTATTTTTGTTTGTTAATGGAGAAAATGTGTTCACATTTTACTTGCATTTCATTAGTTTTTCTCTCTCTTCACTACAACCAATTACTCCGCATATTGTTGGGTTGAGTGAATGTGTGTTGATATATTATTGAACCTACAATTTTGGATATGCTTTAAACTTGTCAATTTACAAGTAGATATTAGAAGTTCCAATGTTCATGAAAGAAGCTCTTCATCCACATCTTCAGATGAGAACACTGTTTTCTATGTTGCTTTCAATGCTTTATATGATTTTTAAAGTTTACTTGAAATTTAATTTTAACTATAAGGATTCTTAGCTGAATTTTCGCTTGTAATTGAAATCATTGAACTCATAAACACATAATAAACAGTGCTTGTTGAAACTATTATTCCACAAATAATATTTTTCAGCATCCAACAACAGCAGAGCAATGCCTCAGAAAAACCACTCTTCCAGTAAGAGATTACTCTACAAATTATCCCCATGTTCCACAAACTCCACAAGGTAACTATATATGTACCAATAAATAAGATTGACACTAGCTTGTAATAATATAATAATTATTAACTAGGTATTGTAGGCCAGCTCTTGAGCAAGTCTCTTATGCACTTGCTCTCGTTCAATTTCAGTTGGTAAGTTGGACTCCATCCATTTGCCATTCCCTTCATACACTTGTCCTTTGGGAATAATCTTCATCTTCCGAAGAACAACCACATTTCTGAGCAAATAGATTGCAAGCTTATTTTCATCTTGAGCACCATGGAAATTTAATATCTCCACTTCCTATGTTGTTTAGAGCCACACTGGCTATTCAGTTTACATATATGACTTTTAGTTGTTTCTGCAAAAGATTATTAGGTAGTCAGTAATTATTTTTGGTTGGTGTATTTATTGATGTGGATGATACTTTGTGCTCTGCAATTGTTTAAATTTTACTGGTAATTTGTTTGGTTTTGATGCTTATTTTTCATTCTTCACCTGCCCACAGACCGAAAAAGTAAGTGATCAATTTGTTTTGAGTTCATCGCGTCCACAGAAATAGCAAAGCCCAGATATCAAGAGCACTCCTTTAATCAGTAAATCACAAGTAACAATCCACTTACTCCAAACCAATCAGGCAAATATCACAACTCTGTGGAAGACTATATATACTTTTCCACAACAGCACACAAGTGTGAGCTGAATCATGAAGACTATGAAGAGATTTGATGTAGAAACTACCTGATGAATAAAGTAGGAATCTAAACTTGAAGAGAGACAAAGTAGATAGTTAAATTTGATATAGAGTTACCTTTAACAGTGTAATCCTCCCTCCCATTGAAAGGCATCTTCTCTTCTTCCACAAGCATAGCTTCTTCTTTTTCTTCTTCTTGAACTTGCATAACAATGGTTGCCATGTTTCCACACCAAGCTCCCAAGGGAAGTCCCAAGTACTTCTTTGGAAAGGATCTATGCTTACAGTTAAGCATACCAGCTGCACAAGTTTCAAGAACTCATCCAAAAAATCTCCCCAACCCAGCCACTGCCTACACTATTGTGAAAATAAATTTTCAGGCCATATAAAATTTCAAAACATCTCAAGAAATGTTAAACATTTATGATTGCATTTCAATCATCATTATAGAAGATTATTGAGTTGTCTACAAATTGGAAGTGAGAAAACTGCAAATTACCATGACCAATACTTACCGACCCCTCTAATTAGAACATGATGCTGTTTGGCTCTTTTAAGCAAAATATTAAGAACCTCAACCATGATGTTAAATAAGAAAGATGCGGGCTGTCCAGAAGAAGGGACTGGGTCACTGGAGGTGCTGGTACAGTGGTGTCCCCTGCAAAAAGATTTAAAACCAGAATTGAATCAATTTCAACAATTAAGTTTAAGAAGTCCAAATTGCAGCGTGAGGAATAGTCCTCTGTCTAGAATTTTACAATTGACATTACCTCTGTTTGTTTCGGCCAAAAACCTTTTTCTATGGTTGGTTGCGTCTTGAAACTAATGTACTAATAGTTGTATTAGTGATGCTGGGGTGATGGTGGTGGTAGCGGCAGGGCAGAGATGGAGGCTGTGAGTGGTGGTGGAGGTGGTGGAGGTGATGATAGTGGTGGTAGTGTGGTGCCATTGATAAGACTTTAATTTGAAAAATATTTGCCACAGTTTAAAAGTGGAAAATGGGCTTGTTGTGTTTGATTGACCATGAAAAATGCTTTTCGTTGGCTTTAGTTTTCTATTGTACCAAATGCCAGAAATTGCGGAAAACATTTTCTGCCCAAACAAATGTGGTGTTAGAATCAATGCTAATGGATCTTGTGAAGGCTTTGATCATATGTCCTTAATCACTTACTCTCTTTTCTCTCTAGATCTCATGGCATTGCCCGTGGATGGTTTAAATTACAAATATCTTTCCTTGTTTGGTAAAATAGCATTGGAAAATATGGAAGTCCACTATTCAGTTTGATTTTCAGATCCGAATGAGCTGTAAAACACGTGGCTGGCTGAGTCACAGCAAAGCACACTGTCTCTCTTTCTTTTTCTC